CAGCTCCTCATCCAGAGAAGCTAGTTCTTCTCTGAATGTTTGGGAGATTAAACAAATGGTGCCTCTGTTACTGAACTATTGGATGTAAATGTTCCAAAGAATAATAAAAGGAGGGTGATATTGCCTTCCTTCAATTCAGCATATCAAAAGAGGCAGCGAATCTAAATTGACAGGAAGTGATTGTGAAGAAATCTGTTTCCAACACCAACTTTTTGTTCAGGCAGATAAGTCCACATCCCTGTAAATAAGTAACATGCTCTTGGCCCTTTCTACCACATGTTCATATTGTAAGCATGATTATATGCCTTTCAACTTGTCCCGGAAATCTTGCTCCCTGCTTCAGATAGTCTACTTTGTGAGATGATGTTTCCAAGCTGTCTTTTTAGAATTAACTCAAATCCATAGAGGTAAGGATTATCAGTAGGGATAACTATTGATAACTAGGGATAAATAGAACCTTTACATTCAGAAACAGTCTGTCTCTGAATAAAAAAATACTAAATAGTGACTTACAGGCTTTCCCTATCTTAGCTGATCCTGGAAATACAATTCTATATATTTCGATATGATATACCAAAATATTTTGCTATGAGTTGGACAGCCTATAAATTTGATTTGTAAGTAAATAAATATTTCACATACTTCATCTTTCAGAAGGTTCCAAACAAGAATACCTGCTAATTAAAGAAGCTCTTATGCTCCCTATTAACCATGTTTTATTTAACGAGCTTGGTTATTATTAGCAACCATGCATAAATTCACAAGACGGCCTCAGGCTATTCAGGAAGCAAACACTGCATTAAAATATACAATATTTAGAGAAGACATGTCTTAAAATGAAAGCCAGAAACAGGGGACTCTTCAGGGCAAAGCTGCAATCAAGCATAGCAACAAATCAATATTAGTTAGATAGTCTTGCTAAAAGTTTCAAAGCAGAAAACAGTGTAGTCATGAACTTAAGCCCAAACACTTTGCACACCTTTACATTTCCTGAAAGGGACATCTTTTCTAAATTTATCCACAATCAGCAAAAGAAGTTCCATTTACCTTCAGTTGTGATTCCAGCAACCAACAAGCTTTCAATCACAATTCCAAACAGCCAGCACTTCATCTCTGCTGAAATCCTCTTGTTTCTCTGCTTCCAAAAGCACAAAGGTCTCTGTGAAGAAAGTGCCAGCAAAGGGAGTGTATACTAAAGGGCGTGTTTAAAAAGGAAGAAGGAGGAGGAGGAGGAGGAGGAAGAAGAAAGAACTGAGAAAGGACCTACACTTTCCCTACAGGAAAAAAAAATTAGGAAGTTCTGCAAAGCGTTTTCATTCAACTGGATTTGACGCTAATGCTTTGACATAATTTGAAGATGCAACCACAGCAAATGTACCTGGCCCATCTGAAAATTTCAGATTTGCTTCTGAATGTTAGAATATGAATCCCAGAATGCCAACCATTTTACTCAGAATGGAAAATAAAACTATTCATAATCTCTGCCTCTTAAATGCCCATTAAACTCTAGAAACCCCAGCTATCCAAATGTATCATTAAAGAGACACCGCTCATTCTCCCTTCCTGCCCCAATCCTTCCTTCCTTGCCTGTATTCTTTAAAAGTATGCTTAAACTGAACACTTTTATTTTCAAAGGAAAATAGCTACCCCAGATCCCAGTCAGTGAGATAACCTCCCTCAGCTAGGCTGGGGCCTCACCCCAGTTTCCTATCTAAAGTCACTTATTTCCTTTATCATTTAATACGATTATGTGCCATCAAGTTGGTGTCAACTCTTAGCAACCACACAAATAGATTTTCTCCAGGAGGATCTGTCCCCATGTCTTCCAACAGCGTACTCATCACTGCTATAATCAAGTCCATTTAACTTGCTGCTGGTCATCCTCTTCTTCTCTCTCCTTCCACCTTTTCCAGCATTAAAGCCTTTTCCAGAGAGCTTGGTCTTTGCATAATGTGTCCGAAGTAGGTTAATTTGAGCCTGGTCATTTGTGCTTTGAGTGAGAACTTTGGGTTGATTTGTTCAATGATCCATTGGTTTGTTTTCTTGGCGGTCCATGATATTCTCAGGAGTCTTTTCTAACACCAAAGTTCAAAAGTGTCAATATTCTTCCTATCCTGCTTCTTTAAGGTCCAACTTTTGCTTCCATAGAAATCACAGGGTATACCATGGCTTGCACGATTCTGATCTTTGTAGCTATAGATATATCATGGCATCTGAATGTCTTTTCCAAGGCCTTCGTGGCTGATCTACTGAGTGCTGGTCTGTGGTGTATTTCTTGACTGCTTGTTCCTTTATTATTTTTGATGATTGATCCTAAAGGGCAGAAACTATCTACCACTTTGATATTCTCATTGTCAATTCTAAGGTTGGTTCTTGTACTGGTTATTTAATGTTATATTCTTCTTAAAATGTTTATTCACAAATAGCACCTCTGTAGGCAAATCACCAACTGGTGGTGATTCTGGGGGGGGGAAAGCATTGGGGACTCTCATCCAGAGTGGAAGAACAAGGTAACCCAGGGCTATATTTCCTTCAAAATTAAAATGGTCAATTGAAGAAAATGTTTCAATAGCAGTACATATGCGTAGGAATCTGCCACCTAAAACAGAACCTAATATCACACGTGGCCCCAATAGCTTTGGATCTGACTCTCAAGGACCTCAAAACATGGTTGCCCAATTGTAACTTTGTAATGGGACAGTAAAAGTATACAGAGTATTTAACAACTTTATTGTGAACTTCTATTGTCTAAGAGTAAGAATGAATCCAATTTCTCCTGTTGGACTATTTTCTTTATATGTTTACAATAAGTTTAAATTAAGGATTGATGAAAGATTGTACAGGCAGTAGTAATGCCATTTTGTAAAAAGAAAAGGTTTCCTGCCATTATAAATAAATGAGCACATCACATAACAAAACCTATGTAAAGAAAGACATATGTATAGGAAAGATGAAATGCCCATTTATATAGACATTGTGGCTAGCTATAGATAAGGAAACATCTGTTTGAATAGACTATAAGAGGAAGGAAGGATTGCACAGGAGGAAGATGTTCATGCTGATAGAGCAGGAACTATTGTAATAAGCTAGTACATTCTATTCTATTGGCTAAATCTGAAGGGCATTATTTTAATACACAATTTTTTATACTCTCTCTATATATTTCACATAATGTATAAACATACATATAGCAGTGCTATCTATTTTATAAAGGTTTAATTTGCTTTTGCCTTCTGAAGAGCATCTCAGAGCATCCCCCCGCTTCCTCATCTCATCTAAATGCCTGATTGTCTTTGAATAAACAACTTGTAGATTAGCTTGGTAAAAGGCCGAAGAGTTGCAAAGAAAAGAGGCCCTCCAAATTCCAGAGATAAGGAGGTGCTGAGTATGGTATTTCCTTGGTAACAAGAGAAGAGAGTTAAGCTGACTTTTTCCTTCTGAGACTCACTCTCCCTCCCCCCTAGACCATCCCTGCATTTCCTTGTATGGGTATGAGGGGATGTACTATCTGATTACATTTGTAAATGTCTATAAATTTCTGATGTTTGCTTTGCAAGGTGTGGTTTCAATCAGCATTCATTGCCACGATGTTGATTGGGCTCACCCGGATGTGTCTTGGCCAAAATATATCTGTTTACTTTCAAAGAAATCTTGTCTCAAGTTTTTGTCTGGCTCTCTAAAACTTGGGTAGCATAGAGTGCCTTACAATCTTTAAACTAAAAACCTGCAAGAAGGGAGACGGAGGAGCAATCCATCACGGCTGCCACCCAATGTTACTTGGCAACCTTGAGTTGAATAAATATATTTTCTTTGACCTCCACTGATCATCTGGCATGTTTCATTAAATTCCTGGCTTGGGCATGAACCACAGGAAAACGCACCTGATCCTTCCGACGCTCCCTTCAGCTCTCAATCCCAATCTCCCGACCAGAAAGCAAGATCATCCCAGAGGAAGACATCTTTTTGGAATTGTACCTTCTCAAGGCCAATCTAAGAACAGAAAGTTAAAACAGAAAACACAGGAGCGACTCCATATGCTTGGAAGGATCTGCCAATTCCCCAGTGAATGGCAATGACCCACATATGAGAGCCAGTTTGGTGTTGTGGTGAAGGTGCTGGTCTAGAAACCAGGAGAAAGTGAGTTCAAGTCCTCTTTTAGGCATGAAAGCCAGCTGGGTGGCTTTGGGCCAGTCACTCTCTCTCAGCCCAGCTCACCTCACAGGGTTGTTCTTGCGGGGGGGGGGGGGAATAGCAGGCAGGAGTATTAGGTATGTTCGCCACTGTGGGTTATATATATAAAAAGGCAGGATAAAAATCTAATATTGCCGTTGTTTAGCTTTTGGTTTTATTTCTGATCTGGGGAAAGAAAGAGGACGTCTAAGAGAATCCAAAGTCATAGTAAAGAAGTGTCGATTTTCCCGCAAAACCCACAGCGAGATGCTCTGTTGCGAAGAGAGGGAGCCGTTTCCTAACTGACGGGGCTTCAGAAATAACCTTAGGCCCATCCTGAGCGTTGTTCAGCAAGAGAAATAAAATAATTAAACGTAGACGCAGGAAAAGCCTTTGACAGCCTGGACTGGCAAGGCAGGCCGCGGCCTAAACCGTCTCCCGCGGAGACGGAGCTCGTGAAGAAGAAAGGGCCGAAGTCAACGGCGCTCTCCCTGGGAGAGCTTATGCCCGCAGCCAGAGGGAGCCGAGCACGGGATGCAAGTTACTAGCGAACGGTACGAGGCGCGGTAGAGGGGCCGAGAGGGGGGAGGCGACGGCGGCGACCGAGGGAGGCCACGGCAGGGAAGGCGGATGGGAGCTTTACCGGGAAGCATCACGGAACCCACTCGCTGGGGCTTGGTTTCCGCCCGACCCCGCGAAGCGCGAGGAGCTTTCCGGTTCTCCTCCCTCGAACAGCCCAGAACAAGCGGGCTTACGTCATTTCCGGGTGGGCAGCTGACGGCCCATGGATGAGGAACTAATTCCTGCGCACGCGCGGGGAGACGAGCTAGTGCGCTTGCGTCTTCTGGCCTCGGCCCGGAAGCGGTGCGTCGAAACGGGCTCTCCCACGCCGGAAGTGGGCCACGCCGAAGCCGGCGTATCGAGTTCTGTCGCGCGGCCCGGCAGTCGTCATGGTGGGCCCACCCGGCGGCGGCGGCGGCTTGGAGAACGCCAACCCGCTGGTCTACCCGCGCCCGGGCGAGCGGCCCACCACGGCGCGCGAGCAGGACGAGGGGCTGCCCGACGCCATCGACGGCCGCGAGGTCTTCGAGATTCTT